TGTACAGCAATAACTTTATTGGATTGGGGTCCCAGCTGTGCTGGGAGCTGTACAAACGTAACAGTAGTGTCTGTGGAATACATTCTCTGCAGTCAGTATCCACAGTAATGTGAATTAGCATAAACAGCCACAGAAGGTAATTGTGAACTGGGTTTAGACCAATCAAGGTAATACCTTTACTTTGAAAGAAAATAATACTCCAGACTAGCTGAGTATCTTCTCTTTCACCTGGCAATGGCACAAGGTGTTAACATGCAAACAGTGATAAAGGAAGCATATACAGGAAATAACTAGAACTTGGCCTCTGTCATACTGAAACCTTAAAAAAATCCACTTTGAATAAGTAAGTCTCAAGAACATTAAGTCTTACATTAAATATTAAATTTTTAAACTTATCAATCAAGATAATAAACATTCTAAAAGCAAAAAACTTTCTTCCCAAGTCCAAAAGGAGGAAATAGCCTACTTAGATTACCAAATAGGAGGTTTGATTTTACTTTGTATGGTACATTTCTACACCCAGTGAAAAAGATCCAAAGTGACCAACTCTGACCAAGGTGTAAAGAGAAAAGAATCAAAATAACTATAAAATGTATTAATTAAAATGGAATTCTAAGCTAAAAGAAATAATCATGAACAACCCTGCAATTGTCTGTTTCTATGCCTTTTCAGCTAATGAGCAACATCAACTCCAACAGCTCTGGTTTTATACAGAGAATATTTGCTATGGGGAAGACCAGGGTAGCTGATGGCTTGCAACAGCTCCAAAAGTATCTTCAGGAACCTCAGAATAGTTGTGTTTTGCAGTCCACTTAAGACTCAGAGAAATATTCAACAGAACATTAGCATGCTCAATATGGTGTTTAGAACAGATGAGTAGTTAACTTCTGGCTATGGTTTTCCTACATTTTTTTCAGACCCTCTTTCCAAGGATGAATTTGCATCCTCCTCCTCTTGACTTGGAACACCAAATAATAGCACAAACAATTTAATTTCTGCTACATATTTAATCTTCCTCAACACAACTGAGTGATCTGCAAAGTTGAAATTGTTGTATAACAGCACTGCACTCTACAGAACTTCTACCACATGTACTTGGAATAGAAATGTTCTTCTATAACAGCATAAATCAAAATTTGCTATATACAAGAAGATGTGAGCCAGAGAAAAGTTTATCACATATAAGACACATACTACATAATTACAAAGTAAAAACCAATCAGTGGGATTCTGACAGACAGCAAAACAAGACTTTTTATACAGGATTTAATTCTGGAAAACAAGAGACATTGCCAGGAGACACATAATCCAAACCAGCTTCTCTACCCAACCACTTCCCTCTCAGTAGTAGGCCTCAAATCTTACTCTCCAGAAGAGGCTGGGTTAGCCACACTAATATTTGGTTTGCTAAAAAATATTTTAATCAGTACCTAAATGGAAGTCTTGGCACAATTAGTACAATATAGACACTGTTCTTTGTCTTCAGCATTTCTCAGGTGATCAACATAAACTAGGAACAGCTAAACCCATCGATTGAAGGGTGACTTGGCACACTGCCATGAGCCAAGAGATTACATCTCCAATTAATTTGTAGAAAATAATCAGTATGATGATGCTTCCACAGGGGGGAAAAAAAGTGTATGTTCTTTCTATCACCCTTTTTCCCACTGCTGCTTTCTCCTCTGGCAGCCTTTATTCTAAGACATTCTACAGGCTCATTTTGCTTCACTTTCAGTATAGTCAGCGTCTCAAGTACTACCCAACTTGCCACAATCCCCCAAAGGCATTCTATAAGTATTGACACCTTTATATTCTCTTTAAGAATCTTTTATCTTTCATCCTTTTTTTGTCTGTGCACCCACAACATCGAGTTGTGTCTACAGCAGTACTTTTGCACTTTAACTCAAGTTTTTCTCATACATCGTCCTTGACACCTCTTGAAGTGCCTTTCCTCCTACAGCCTTTGCCAGTGTAGTTCGCAGCATCATCCTTTTACCCCTCACAGGTATTCTTGAGTGATTATCTTATGAAGGGCCATTATTCTCCTATGCACATGATTCCCAAATACATTCAAGACCCATTGAAAAGACAAAGGCCCTTGGATGGACAGCACAAATGTACAGGCTAAAAAAAGTACAGGTTGAGGTTTTATCTCCAAGGTATTGGATAGGATATCTGCATGTGTTTTGACATATAAGGAAAGAGCAGAACACAAATTTAAGTACTGAAATTGCTGTCCCTCAGCAACTTGAGACAGCAGAAAGACAAATTACAAAATGACCAGGTAGTCCTTAAGTCGCTATGAAACTTACTAGGGCAAAGAGGCACTAAAGCTCTCTAGTAAAATACTTACATCAGACCATTTCCCCACCTCTGCAGGGAAGAGTACATTTAACACTGAATAGTAAATTAATAGCAATACCAAAACCAGCACGTTCCCTGTTCAGGTGTATGAGATTACCATTTTCAAAGGAATTTTCTAAATTTATAATTGAATTAGCCTTCCTTTCATTAACGCACTAATATCACCACTATGCTTTCAAACAAGTCACTTACTGGTCCTGTTTTGTAAACAAAATCAGTATTAGTACAACAATGATCAAGAGCTGAAGTAAAATATTGTGGAACGTAGTAAAAGAAGCGCCTGAAACAGCAAATATTCAGCACTCCTGTTTGCTTCCAGAGACAGTGAAATAACATCTTCAGTGTAAGCATTGCATCTAAACATGTGAACAAGAAAAGAAACATTATAAAGTTCGGGCGGTATAAGAGACTTAAAAATATTTATTTAGTTCAGGCTTAGTGTATAGTACTTTTAAATTTAATAATTAGACGCAGTTACACAGTGCATCATCTCACTGTGATTATTTCGACAAAAACATACACACAGTCCTTGCGTCATTTTTCATATACCAAAGAACTCTCTTTTAAATTGAAGCATCTTGCTCAGATGGCACACGCCTTTACCACTAGCTCCTGCTAACGCTGCACGAGGTGCCCCTCGTTCCGGGGAGGGGGATCCGACATTCCCCGGCTAAGCGGAGCCCCCAGCGCGGCCAGCCCCGGCGGAGCCCTGAGGGCGCGGGGCGGCGCTGGGCACGCG